GAAATCGAAATCAGTTCACTTCGGAGAGAAACTTACAACAATGAAGCACTCATATGTGCAAGTCTGGACTTGGTCGAAGAGCACCGTAACAAATCTCAGTTGTGCATAGCTTCTTACCGGCAACGAATTAAGAAGTTTTTCGACTCCAAAGTTAGAAAATGAGATTTTCAAGTCAGAGATTTGGTTATAAGGCAAGTCTTGATCAAAACAACAAACCCAATGCGGGGGTGTTGGGACCTAACTAGGAAGATCCATATCAGATGCTAAGGTGATCCGACCTGGAACGTACCATCTAGAGCGACTAAATGGCTTCGAGATATCACATGCTTGGAATGCCAAGCACCTACGCCGCTATTATCAGTAAGTGTCTGAATTACATTTTTTCTTATTCTTTGAACAATTTGATATACTTGTAATTTTTTTATTATCAATAAGAATTACATCGTGTATATTGTTATCTTTCTTATGTGTAATTTCTTGTGATCTCATTATTCCATTTGAGATAATATGCAAAAGAAATGTGCTCATTATTGATGTATGAAAAGGATTTGATCACTCAAAGTGAAAAAAGATTCTTTTATATATAAAAGATCACATACAAACTGATCCTTAAAAAAAAAAAAATAAATAAATAAATAAAAAAGGATCTTTTAAGTGATCACTCCTCCGTCTTGTCCTCGAGATTTAAAGACTCAAGGAAAGGATCCTACATAAAGGGTGCTTCAATCTCAAGATTTTCAACCTCTTCACAACCAGCCTCGATCTCAGGATTCTCTTGCTCTTCGTGAGCATCCTTTTCAAGATCTTCATCTTTAAGGATAAGCAACATGTCTTCTTCCTTGACAATGACATCCTCATTCCACAATGCGTCGATAGCATCTATGTACGCTTATGGAAGTCTGGAGTAATCAGCATCAGCGTTGTCTGAGAGCAAAGCTTTAATGACCTCTAACGCCCACAACCCTGCTTTCTTCTCTAGTTCGAGTTTAGAAAGTCATATATGTTCCCTCAAGGAAGCAATCTCTTAATTAGCGGTCTCCAGCGCTTTATTTTTTTCCTTGGCAGCTCGCTCAATGTCCGACCACAATTTGGCTTGAGAATTTGTGATCCTCGCTTCACGTTCTCTGTTTAGCCGAAGCTTTTCACTACTTGCGTCGAGCTCCTCGATGATCTCTTCTTAGCGGTATCTAGGGGCATCCTTTGCCACCTTGTTGGCAATTGCCAAGCCTTCCTTAAGCTTGGCCAACTCATTCTTTATGTCTTCATATTTGCTTCCACTTTTTTCTTAGACGGAAAGTTGGGTGTGAACCTTGTTGAAGAACATGTTCAGAGTACAAGAGGCTTGCAAAAAGTGAAACAACCACAAGTCAGCACTGGAAAAGATTTTTGTCGATCTCTATTAAGATCGCAAAAAGGGAAAGTCAAGTACTTGATTTTGTAGCCAGGGCACGTCTACTAGCAGATCAAACAGTTTGATCTTCTTAAATCTTCCCAAGTGTCATTGAGTTGCAATTCGGGCATCGAAGATAGTTGGGCTTGCATGTATTCGAGTAACTTCTCATGATCATTGAGACTGAATCCTTGGCATCTTCTGCCCTTAAGGATTTACCGATCTCTTTTTGGATAATCTTCGTAGGATCATCTCTCTTTTGCTTCTTCAGAGGTTACTCCACATTGACATATTTGAAGTCACCCTTGGTAGCTTGCTTCTTCTTGTATACAACCTCCTCGCCAGAGGTGTCAGTCTCCTCATCTCCTATTTGCTTCCTTTCTTTCAAAGCAATGGTCTTCTTTGGGACCAGGACTGGAGCGCACGATGTCTCAGCCGACTTCTTCTCTTTTGGATGTTTCTCAATGTTAGTTCGGGTCTCAGTTGATGGGACATCACCCATAGGTTTAGGAACATTGAGTTCCTAAGTGCTCAAGAAAAGCCTAGGGATTCCCTGCTTTTGAATTAACTCTTCTTGGAGGCATCTCTACACAAAAAAAAAAAAAATAAAAAAAAATAAATAAAAAAAATGGCATAGTTAGCAAACATCAAAAGACAAAAAATAGCCACTTACTAAGAGAAAATCTCACATGGTTTCGTGGTTGCTATATCTAGATAGGCATCGCTACCAAAGAATCCATACTTCCTCAAACTCTAAGTGGTAATGAGCAACCTCACGTCATGGTAATCCTCCGGGAAGCGACTAAAGCCTGTATCCAATTGTGGTCCTATAATAGTTGATACTTTGTCGCTTTGTTTTCTACATACAAAGAAGATCGTTAGGTGACGATCTCATACAAGGATAAAAAACACAACATCCATCACAGAGGAAAAAAACCTACTCGACTCCTAAAAAGTACAGAAATACTCAATGAAAAAATATTTTGACTCCAATGCCCTACATTATTGGGATACCCAAACAATCCATCTTCGATTGATGATCGCTTGGAGAGATAGTATAATTCCTTGTCCTTGGTCTTCTTCGACATATAGGTGCATGCGAGCTCTAGCACTTTAGGTTCGCTAAGGTCATGCTTGTAAAATGATATATACATCGCCACAACCATTATGTGTGAGTTGGGCGTCATCTGAAATGACGCAATCTCGAACTGGTCAAGTGTTGACCTGATGAAAGGATGAAGAGGGATACAACTCTAGTCTTAAACATTGCTTCAGAGATCGCTGCCATCCCTTTAGGAGGGTGTGAGTTGTAAAGGTTCTTCGTTTATACAAGTGCACCTCGATGGCATACTGATTCACGATCTTCTGTAACTCCTCCAAAGTGATTGTAGTTAGAGTGAACTCCATGTTTGCAGGTCATGAAGTTGACGGACCAGGGGCTTCTTCTTTATTGGTTTTTCCCATCTCAGTAGTTGGTTTCCACTCATTCCGATAACCTCCAAGGTATTCTATGGGTTCTACTATCTGTAAAGGGATGACAACCAAAGGGGATTCAAACCTAGAATAATCTACCTCATAAGACGACTCAGAAGAAGAAATAAAGGCTTCACCCATTAATAGTTCCCTACCACTACCACAAACTTCGAAAGGTAAGACTCATCGAGATTCTTCACCTAACTACGTAGAGTTTCCAGATGACTCAACCCAGAAAACACCTAAGTCTATAGCCCTACCATGGATGCACACCACCAAATAACTAAGGAAAAGAGATAAAGACGAAGATTATTACCTCACAGTCCCCAAAAGGATGAGTTTTGGAGTAAATGAAAGATGTTTGCATCAACGTTCAATCACAAGACTCAGAGAATGAGGAGGCAAAATTTTCTGAAAGAGGGATTTTGATTTTTCTCAAGCAACTTAGGGTTTGTGTTCATGAAAGAGTGATGGTTCATTGCCTTTTATAAACAAAAATTATGGCAGGAGTGGTTTTCTGACCGTTCATCTCAGCCACGTGTCATTAATCTATGGAAAGAGTGACCTCCACGTTTTTCCAAAGAGAAAACTGTTGATTGAAACCCTAGAGAGTTGTACTCGTTGGCATATTCATCTCAGTCACATTTAATGCACCACAAGGAATGTCTTTTCAGCATGGCTAGCATTAAATGTGCATGGTTGTCATTTAATGCGCACACTGACTTTTGGTTAGAAAAAGTCAATCAATCGTATTGCTGAACACGCCAATAATAAAACAAGGGATATCTATGAAGATCGTTCAAGCTTCACTGCATTGCATCTTCTCATATCGCAAAAAGATACTTGGATCGTAGACCTCATTTCATCCTCAGTTTTCGAAGGGCATGGCTAGCGTTAGATCACTCCTATCCACCTGGTCACCTCAATCTCTCAGATCGCAAGATTTTAGACAACTCTCAATTCTCATGACATGACCACACTCAGATCGCTCTCATCCACATGATTTCTTCGAGCTCTCTAATTGTCAATTCTACAAGGCCATGGAAATTCGCACATCAAACGCCACATCGAAGGCACATCAAGAATTATCTCTAGAGATCTTATTTGTTTGAAGAGTCAGCACATGCCCAGATCACAGCATAACTTGTAGTTCCCGAAATTCAATTTTGAATTCCAAGAACTAAGGGTCTTCTGTTATGCCTAAAGCACATACTGATTTCTTTACCACCAATGAAGATTCAACATTCAATTCCACCATTCAGAATTCACCACGTGTACAAGGACAAACAAGAGATAATTGGATAATTCTTAAACCGACTCCAAGGATATTTTGTGTAGCCATCTGCCAAAATTTCATTTAATTTAAGGATATAGATGAAAGTTCTCAACGAATCAGAAGGAAGGAAGATCTTCACCAAATCAAGATAACTTGCAAAAGCACTCCTTATTTTGAGCTGAGAATATTATAAATAGGCAACTCCACTCCTCAAAGCAGGATCGATTCTCAAATTCAGACACTTATTTTACCACAAAAACAATAAAGACACATTATTAGAAAGAGACTGACTTGTCGTTCTCTTAGGATATCTCGATCACTTGTAACCTTGAGAGATTGCACTCTTCGTAATCTTCACTAGCAATCACACAACAAAGCATAATAAAAACACAGTGGATGTAGGATTTGTTTATAACATTCGAACCACTCTAAAAGCTAATCTTGTCAATTTGTTATTTATGCACTAACTAACAAACAACTTACTCATAACATTATAAACACTCTCACAATCATTCTTATGTGTAATTTCGAAGTCTCTTAGCACTTTGCACATGTATAATCGTTGATGTTAAAATTATGTATCAACAAAATAAATGTATTTTGGTCTTTATGTAGTTTAGTGGTCAATACAAAAGTAGATAGGTGGCCTTTTTAACCTTTCAACCAATTTCCTAACGATAATACAGGTAATCTTGGTTGGAATAACACAAATTAACCATAACCAATCCAGATAAGAATTCGACTCATTCTATTGCCAAACAAAAAGGCGCGCGTGTGGTTGAAGTCAGGGCTTGAGTCAATGAAAGTAGTATAGTGTAGTATTTATGGTTAAACAACCGTAAACCCTAATCATTTAAATACCCTTGAATTTCTAGCTGTCTTTCTCCGCAAAACAAACACTCTCACAAACTTTCTTCATCTCTCTCTAGACTCTAAACCCTCCACTCCAATTGAGCTAGGGTTTAGGTCATTCTTACTTCAATTCTTATCTCAAATAACATCATCATGGATCTTCCTAGCCTCGCCGTCATCCTCCAAGCTGCTCTTAGTCCCAACCCCGATGAACGCAAAGCCGCCGAGCAAAGTCTCAATCAGGTTCTCCTAATTTTCATTTCTTTGATTATCGTTTGGAATTTGGTTTTATTTGCCTTTTCTTTTGATCTGAATTGCTTATGTAATTTGCTGGATTGGATGAATTGGATAAAGATATTATCCTACTTTAAGCTTTGGAGATTTTTGTTTTGTTTTATTTTATTATGGGATTCAGATATTGATGAATATTGTTTTGGGTTTTATTTGTTTGTTGCCAGTTTCAGTACACGCCTCAGCATCTGGTAAGGCTATTGCAGATCATAGTTGACAATAACTGTGACATGGCAGTGAGACAAGTAGCCAGCATTCATTTCAAGAATTTCATTGCTAAGAATTGGGCACCCCATGAGCCAAGTATATAGATATATAGATATATATATATATAATAATTTTATTAGTTTTATTATTTTAAATTCTTTTAAATATTGTTAGTGTATGTTGTTTTATTGTTTATGTAAATATGTGATGCAGATGAGCAACAGAAGATCTCGCATAGTGATAAAGACATGGTGCGGGATCACATTCTTGTATTTGTTGCCCAAGTTCCCCCATTATTGAGGTACCAATTGTTGTTTTTAATGGTTGGAAGATATGTTTCAAATTTCCTAGATTCAGTTATACATTTGGACTTGATTCATGACACTTTTATAGGGTACAGCTAGGCGAGTGTCTGAAGACTATTATCCATGCTGATTACCCGGAGCAGTGGCCACACCTTCTAGATTGGGTGAAGCATAACTTACAGGATCAACAAGTTTATGGAGCTTTGTTTGTGTTGCGGATTCTTTCTAGAAAATATGAGTAAGTATTCACTTTTTATTTTCTAATAATTTATGAAAGAATTTTTTTTTTTTTGGGTGATAGATCGAGATCAGAAGTTGATGTGATAGCTTATTTCATCTCTAAATTTCAATTTAATTAGTTTCTGTAATTTTCTCAATAATACGTAATTTAATTGGAATTGATTCAATTAGATATTCAATTGTCTTAAACAAGTCCCATGTCTACTCAGGTACCATACCACAGATATTACTTCTATGAAAGGGTATAAAAACTATGAGTAAGTAGAACTGTAATTTTTTAAAGTTGGTTGGATTTTTTTTTTTTTTGTTCACATATAGATAGATAACGTTTTAACAGTTTTTTAAAATAAATTTCAATACTGTAATTTGCTTTAGTTCTCTATTAGACATGGACTTCTACTTTGAGTTTGATTTAGCAGCACTTGAGCTGTGTGGAATGACATCAATCAGTTGATATTAAAATTTATTAATATGTTTGAGAGTTGTATATTGTCTACATGACCTAACTGTATAAGGCATCCTGGGTGCTTGCTTAAATTTTTTTATTGCGAAGGGGTGGGGGGTTGAGACGAAACACCATATAGATGCCTTGAAGGCTTCAAGGCAGGGTAACTTGTATGAGGAAATGGTTTCTTAGCTGCCATTGTTCACCAAACTGACAACTTTTGAAGGAGCATAACTCCATAGTATATTTTGTTTGTGATGTTCTGCTTTCTAAAAGAGTAAATCTTATAGTGGGTGATCTAAAAGTGGTGTTGAAACCGAAGTTGCCAATTTTTTATTTTATCTATTTTTTTTTTTTTTCTTTTCTTTTTTTGGGGAATTTAAGTTTCTTATCATCAATTCTTATAAGGGTCTTTTTTTTGCAACTGAAACACCCTTTTGCTTGTTTGTTTTCCTAAGTTTTTATCTTCTTTTTTTCTCTTTTTCTTCTACTTTTAAGTCCTTTATTGGTTTCTGTTAAAAAAAGGTTGAGATGTATGTTTATTTCTCTGTATAATAACGAAGCTTGTTCTTTACTGTATTTCATCTAATTTTTTGTTGTTTTAGGTTCAAGTCGGACGAGGAGAGAACACCAGTTTATCGAATTGTTGAGGAAACATTTCGTCATCTTCTCAATATATTCAACAGGCTTGTCCAAATTCCCAACCCATCATTGGAAATAGCCGACTTGATTAAGCTTATTTGTAAAATATTCTGGTCATCTATATATGTAAGTTCTGATGTGTAGAGTTTTACAGCCCAGCTTTTGTCAGGCTTTTGCTGTTTATTATGTTTAATTGGATGTTATAAGTCAATACTCTTTTCCTATTTGTCGATACTTTTATCCGGTTCACATTTTGCTCATGATATTTAAATAGGTTTTCCATTTCTTTTTTGCTACTTTTTAAATGTAAACCTGTGACTTCTATGTAAAGACAAGTGTTCCTCAGCTTGCACAAGACATACTATGTCTTGCTTTTATTTGAAGGATTTTTTGATTGCTGCTTAAAAGTTTTTTAGTATTGCACTAAAAAAAGTGTTGAAAGCACTTAATTGGGTGCATGTACTCCTATCATTCTACTTGCATTTACTGTTGTTCATGTAATTGTAAGAAGATGCGGATCTAATAATTGCCTTTTTCAAGGTTATCTTGCGTTAAATAATTAGCAAGAACTTTCTAGGGGTGTTGTAGTTGTTCTCACAGTTAGATAACATTTTTTTTTTTTTTTTTTTTGCCTCTTAATGTCGACGGAGGCATATTGTTTGCCAGGAGTGATTTATTGGTACATTTTCGTGCAGTGTTTTGAGGAGGTGGCCGTTATCCATCTGTAATTATGAGAAATTTTGATGTTGTTATGTGCTTTCAACAACCCTGATGTGCTAATATTTTATTTGTATCAAATTACGATCTAGATATCCTTATTGCTTTCTATCTCTTTTTCAGTTGGAGATTCCAAAGCAGCTTTTCGATCCAAATGTTTTCAATGCTTGGATGATTCTTTTCTTGAATGTTTTGGAGAGGCCTGTTCCCTCAGAAGGTGAGCCTGCCGACCTTGAGCTAAGAAAATCTTGGGGGTGGTGGAAGGTGAAGAAATGGACAGTTCACATATTAAACAGGCTGTACACTAGGTAATTTCTTAATTCTTGTCATGATTTTCGAGTAACTTGTATAACCCTTGCAGCATAAAGTGACCTGACTTGTTATGGCCAATTACATCTCTGTTTTGTTTGATAGGTTTGGAGATCTCAAACTTCAAAATCCTGAAAACAAAGCTTTTGCTCAAATGTTTCAGAAGAATTATGCTGGGAAGATCTTGGAGTGCCACCTAAATCTCTTGAATAGGATCCGTGTAGGTGGCTATTTACCTGATAGAGTGACTAACCTTGTTCTTCAATATCTGAGCAACAGGTGCAATACGATTTCTCATTCATTATATAAGTTTCTATATTTTGTTTTATTTTTCTTTACTTGAATCCAATAATTTGTGGAAACAACAATTTTCAATGAGTTTTATATTTGTGATGTTAACTGGTTCCCAAAGCACAATTATAATTTCATGAACAAATCAAATTGTGATGTATCAATGCATTGTATAGTGTGTGTGTGTGTATATTTGGATATGGTTCATTAAATAAATTAGCATTTTGTCCATATATGATTTTATCATTTTTTCTTTTGGACACATGTTATGAGGGTCTTAAATTTTATTAATATCTAAAATATTATGTTCCAGGTAGCTAGTAAATGTTTCCTAATGCATTCCTGGTGGTAACCGATAGAAACCCACTCTCAAATTGATATCAATTGGCTAGCTTTTCCCTCTCAATGTGGGATCTTAACATTCTCCCACGCTTCGAGATCCAGTGCCCTCGTTGATCTTCTTTCTAAAGAGCACCTGCCCTCATTGGCTACCCTGCCATTGTCGGCCTTTGCTGCCCTCCCTTCGGATCTTACTTTGCCTAGAAGCTTGTTAGGCTTAGAAGCCTATCAACAACTCTCCTTCTCGGCCCCCTAACTTAGAAGCCTATCAACAACTCTCCTTCTCGGCCCCTTAGGGGGCCTACTAAGCCTTGTTGCGTGGGCTTGGAAGGTGGGGCCTGCTTTGATACCAATTGATAGAAACCCACGCCAACAACTCAAACAATTGGGCTAAGCCATGGGTCTTTCATGGGCTTGGGTAGAACTCTCCTTGGAAAACTGGCTTGCCAAAGGAGGGTGTCCAAGCCTTTATAACCACATGTCCACCCTTTTCCCTTCCAATGTGAGATCCTAATATTCCACCACGCTTTCGCAACCGACTTCCACGTCGGCATTTTTACCCCTTGGGTGACTATACAGATCCCTTTTCCCTTGGGTCTCCATGCCCTTTCTCGGAGTAGCAGCTTGGGCCCAAGGTCAGCTTGCCACATCGGCGATGTCCATGTGGGCATAGAATCATGCTCTGATACCATTTAGCCCACTCTCAAATTGATTTGAATTGCGCTGGACAGTGGTCCTTTGATAGGAATTGGGCTAGGCAATGGTCCTTTTGTGGGCTTGGTTAGAACTCTCCTTGGAAAACCGGCTTGCCAAGGGAGGGTCCTCAAGCCCTTATAAACCACATGCGCACCCTTTTCCCTCTCAATGTGGGATCCTAACATTAACCAAGTTGCCAATATGTCAAAATATATGTTTTGGTATATTGATGAATAAGTAATTATTTTGTAGCTAAATTAAGATCATGAAATTCAGTGGTATTTCATTTTGTTATAAAATAGTCACTTAAAGGATGAGATTGTCCTGCAGATTTATGTCATCGCATCATTGGAATAATAGGATTCAGAGAAGCATGGAAAATCAGATTGAAAATAAAAGCAGTGTTTTAGCTACACCTCTGTAGAATATTGAAGGCTTCACCACTGCTGAATGTAGGATTCTGGATTTTAGTTAGTATATTAAGACTTCATTCAATTTAGGAATTCTTGCAGCTCTCTTAATCACTTCTTTTTATTTGTTGAACACTCATTTTCTCAATTTTCCTCTGCATTTGTCTTTTAACAATTAGCTTTATTTTGCTCTCTTCTGTTTCCTTTTTTACTAATTAGGTTTTAGGGTTCTTTGTCCCCGAAAGACTTTTTTTAGACTTTAATGAATTGACTGTATTTAATATTTTTTTTAAAAGTATTTCAATTCTATGATTGTATTTTCATTCACATGCGAATGCAAGAAGGAAATCCTTGCTATATAAGTAATTTGAAACTCAATCTAACTCGAGAAACAAACAGAAATGTGGTCTTATTCATTAAGCTTTTGTCCAAGATGTGGTTTTGGAACTCTTGCATATTTCTTATGTGCCTTCACATTTTATGAAGCTGTTTACTGAATGATTTAATTACATCATATATTGCACCTTTTGTTGTAGTGTGAGTAATTGTTTTACTGGTGAACGTAAATTTTAAAGTATTAATATTATTTTGTCAACTTATGCAGTATTTCGAAGAATATTATGTATAATTTGTTGCAACCACGGCTTGATGTCCTTCTTTTTGAGATTGTTTTTCCCCTTATGTGCTTCAATGACAATGACCAAAAACTTTGGGATGAAGATCCCCATGAGTATGTGAGAAAGGGCTATGGTGAGTTTTTGATATCTGGCTATGTTTCTTTAAAAGCTTGGGATAGGCAGATGTAGCTCATGCATTTAATTGCCTTGATGCAGATATTATTGAAGATCTGTATAGTCCCAGGACTGCATCCATGGATTTTGTCAGTGAATTGGTTAGGAAACGTGGAAAAGATAATCTTCATAAGTTTATTCAATTCATTGTGGAAATATTTAAGAGGTATTCTTTCACAAGATGTTTACTATGTATGCCTACTATGATTGTGTAATTAAATGGATTCATTTAGACCGTTTCCTTTGATCCAGATATGATGAATCACCAGTAGAATATAAACCCTATTCTCAGAAAGACGGTGCACTGCTTGCTATTGGAGCTCTTTGTGATAAACTGAAACAAACTGAACCCTACAAATCTGAACTGGAACGCATGCTAGTGCAACATGTTTTTCCTGAGTTCAGTAGTCCAGTTGGTCACCTTAGAGCCAAGGTTTGCTGCTTATGCAATTTCATTGCTTCAATTCTGTGCTTTTATTAGGCTTTTATCAACTTTATACTTTACATGTTGCAATATCATATACTTATATGTTATTCACTCATTAGACTTCACATTTTTGTTGCATATTTGCATTGAGTTTTAATTTCATTTATAGGTGTTGAAACTTTATTCCTATTGCAATGTTTGACTGCTGATAGATAATGACTTGTAGTTTGACAATTTGGAGGTCAAATAAGGTGTAACTATGCACAGGTGATAAATATATTTTTTGTCATTTGTTTGAGGGAGAGGCTGTGTGGGATTATTTCAATTATTAGAATTTTTAGAGTTAAGATGTGTACAAAAGGACTAGCATCTGAGATATCATTATGGTTAAAAGAAAGTTCTTTAACTGGTGTCTGAAACCCTTACTTTGAAGTAACTAGTTGTTTTGAATTGTAATTGCTATTGCAGTGAAAGTTGAATTTCTTATATTCATTGTTCTTTAGGTTTCTAGATGACAATGCCTTTTGAGATAGTTCCTTGTGTACTTGCATACATATGCATGTAATTTTATTTTTATTTTTGGTGAGATTTAACTATTTCTCATACTTCCTGTGGCCTGGATGTTAGGCGGCATGGGTTGCAGGACAGTATGCTCATATTAACTTTTCAGATCAGAACAATTTTCGCAAAGCACTCCACAGTGTGGTTTCTGGGTTGCGTGATCCAGAACTTCCTGTTCGTGTTGATTCAGTATTTGCATTAAGATCATTTGTTGAAGCTTGCAGAGGTATACAGTATACCTGTATTTCTATGTTTGTCTCTTCCCATTCTCATTGTGTAATTTTTTGATTTATCCTTTTTCTTTTTTCTCTCTTGAAATTTAAAGCGGGATGTTTACTAAACTATTCTGTTCACTATTCAGATTTGAATGAGATTCGTCCAATTCTTCCTCAACTTCTTGATGGTACGTAGTGTTTAAACTTTGAAATTTATCAGTAATAGACTATTTTGTTAAATTCAAGGTTCCTTTATTAGTTGTTCTCATTGAGTTGTTACATTTTATTCCTGCAGAATTTTTCAAACTTATGAATGAGGTTGAGAATGAGGACCTTGTCTTCACTTTGGAGACTATAGTTGACAAATTTGGGGAGGAAATGGCACCTTACGCACTAGGATTATGCCAGAATTTGGTATTACATGCTTTAATTATTATCCCAAAATACTCCTTCATGCGGCTGTGATCTCTGCTTGGGTTTCTCATTGTTGGCTACATTTTCAGGCTGCTGCATTTTGGAGGTGTATGAATACTGCTGAAGCTGATGAGGATGCAGATGATCCTGGTGCTTTGGCTGCAGTTGGTTGTCTGCGTGCTATAAGCACAATTCTTGAATCAGTTAGCAGGCTTCCACACCTTTTTGTCCAAATTGAGCCCACACTCCTTCCCATAATGCGTAGGATGTTGACAACTGATGGTCAGGGTATGCATACTTAACAGGCTATTTTTTTACTGCCTTTTTGGGTCTGCCCACAATAATTTGTTGTGTGCATGCAAAGACACCTCTTGGTTAGTTGGGTACTTTTGCTTCTTTTTTGTCAGTCTGGCAAAGATAGGTGGTAACTCAAAGGATACAGGTGTATTTATAAATTTGATTTCTACTAATTTTAATATGATTAGGAATCTTAAAATTAATAGAATTGGAAACCTTGAGTGACAAACATTATTCTAAAGCAGGACTCTTTGAACACCTAAATAGTTAAATTTGGATTCAAAAAAGTTATTAGGAAAACCCTAAACTAGTGCATAATTTACGAACATTACAGTTCTGTTCCCACATGCAAAATACAAATGGTACCAAAACTATTATTCTAAATTAAAAACTAATTTAACCTAATTATTTATGACTTAATATTCAAAATCATAAAAATTGGATATTTTATATTTTTTTAACATGCTTGTCAAGGTTGACGTTCTAAATATATTTCAAGGATAATGATAACTTGTGCTGGAGAACTTTCATTTCTGTTTTGTAGGGGGAAAAATTCTTGCACTATGTTAATTCCTTGATTTTAATTATGACAAAGAAATTAGTTGTGAGTGGATAATGTAAACTATGAAAGAATGATTCTGGAGAAGATCCATTAAATATTTAGCTCCAACAGAAGTGAATTATACCTTTTAACCTGACAATGAATTAAACTAAATTGAGGGTCTTATTATTAACTATAAAGTAATCCTGATTTCTCTTGGTCCCAGCATTGGAGTGGTTGACTGGAATTATGCAACTAATTGTGATCAAGCTTCGTAACAGAAATGTTAGAGATTGGAAGATGTTTGTAGGAGAAAATTAAAAAGTACTAAGGGGGAGAAAATGAAGGAAAACTTGAGAGGGAAGCTATCTATATTTACCAAAAAAATTTCAACTAAGTCCTAGTCTAAAATGACTAAGATCCCGTACGTATAGTGGCAAAAACCCTTACATAAATAAATCATATAACTGCCCCAGATAAAAAAATAAAATTAGTAAAATACAGAAAAAAAGTATTAAGTCCTGAATACCTTTCCAGCTTAGCCTAATATATGTATGTAGATCCTTGTGATGCCTCCATCAACTGGTATGCTTGTTTGATTCAATAATTCAATCTCATTTCTATCTGTATCTCCAAAATTCAACGATGGCATAAGCAATTATACTATTAAAGTTTTGCACTCATCAAAGCATTCAAGATGGATACTGTTCCTTGTTAAATATTCTCTATTTTATCCTCTTTGAATGTTAAATAATTTTCTATATTCTCCATTTTATCCTCTTTGAATGTTAAATAATTTTATATATTCTCTGTTTAAAGTTTTGCTCTCATCAAAGCATTCAACATGGATACTGTTCCTTGTTAACTATTCTCTATTTTATCCTCCTGGAATGGTAAATACATTATTTCATAATTTTTATTGTCTTGGAGACTTGTGTAAAGCTCATTTTCTCTATGTAGTACACCATTCAATTGCTTTATTTGAATTCCGTATTTTATTTGGCACAAAAAGTTTCTTGTTAAATACACTTTTCTTTATCCCAGTGAATATTAAATAATTATTTCTCTTTTTCCTGGTAGACTTGTGTAAAGTTCATGTTCTTCATTTAGGTCCATTACTTAATTGCTTTATTGATTTTAGAAATTATTAATCAATTAAGTACCAAATTTTCTGGTTTATTTATGCAGAGGTTTTTGAAGAAATTTTGGAAATCGTGTCATATATGACCTTCTTTTCTCCAACAATATCTCTGGAAATGTGGAGCCTTTGGCCATTGATGATAGAAGCATTGGCTGATTGGGCCATTGATTTCTTTCCAAGTAAGATTGTGTTACCTTGCATGACCTTCTATTTATTTATTTATTTTATTAGGTTTGGGTACATCTTATCAGTTGTTTATTATTGTTCCATCCATTGTTTTTCATCTGTGACTGGATAAATTTTGTAAGTTTCTTTTTGTGATTGTTGGATAAAATTTTGTATTTTGTATTTCTGTTGTTTGTAGAATATCATTCACCTCTCTGAGGTTGTTATAAATATTACTGATCTTCACTGAAATGGAGATCGTGCAAATTAATAAAATATTCAAATTTTGCATCACAGCTATTTAGGTAATTTGAGATACTGTATTATGATGCAGTTGTTTCTTGATGCAAATTTGTTAAGAGCATAGCTATATTTTCTGCTTCTCATAGCTGTTTGTTAATGCAATTNTATGTAGTACACCATTCAATTGCTTTATTTGAATTCCGTATTTTATTTGGCACAAAAAGTTTCTTGTTAAATACACTTTTCTTTATCCCAGTGAATATTAAATAATTATTTCACTTTTTCCTGGTAGACTTGTGTAAAGTTCATGTTCTTCATTTAGGTCCATTACCTAATTGCTTTATTGATTTTAGAAATTATTAATCAATTAAGTACCAAAGTTTCTGGTTTATTTATGCAGAGGTTTTTGAAGAAATTTTGGAAATCGTGTCATATATGACCTTCTTTTCTCCAACAATATCTCTGGAAATGTGGAGCCTTTGGCCATTGATGATAGAAGCATTGGCTGATTGGGCCATTGATTTCTTTCCAAGTAAGATTGTGTTACCTTGCATGACCTTCTATTTATTTATTTATTTTATTAGGTTTGGGTACATCTTATCAGTTGTTTATTATTGTTCCATCCATTGTTTTTCATCTGTGACTGGATAAATTTTGTAAGTTTCTTTTTGTGATTGTTGGATAAAATTTTGTATTTTGTATTTCTGTTGTTTGTAGAATATCATTCACCTCTCTGAGGTTGTTATAAATATTACTGATCTTCACTGAAATGGAGATCGTGCAAATTAATAAAATATTCAAATTTTGCATCACAGTTATTTAGGTAATTTGAGATACTGTATCATGATGCAGTTGTTTCTTGATGCAAATTTGTTAAGAGCATAGCTATATTTTCTGCTTCTCATAGCTGTTTGTTAATGCAATTTATTACTGATAAAGTGGGCTTGGGTAGAACACACTCCCAAAAGCTAACTTAAGGGAAGAGGGAGCCCAATCACTTATATACACCATAACAGCCCACTATTGGGGCGATGTGTGACAAATTCAACTTTTAACACCCTCCCTCACGTTTGGCGTGCAAGGCCGGGGTCCAAACCCATCATCGCCCCAACCAAAGAGGGGAGAGAAACAAATGTGGCTCTGATACCATGATAAAGTGGGATTGGGTAGAACTCACTCCCAAAAGCTAACTTAAGGGAGGAGGGAGCCCAATCACTTATATACATCATAACAGCCCACTATTGGGGCGATGTGGGATAAATTCAACTTCTGACAATTACAATAAAGTTTTTATTAAGCAAGTCATTGAGAAGCTTCTCTTAACAATTGGAGGGTTTTGTTTGTTATTATTTTACCGTGCTTTCCTGTATTATTTTTTTACCTTTTCTCCCTTGTTTTCTAGTCCACTAGATATTATGTTGTACTGTTCTTTCTCTGTTTAAAGAATTGTTGTTTACTTATCAATTAAAAACAACTTTCCACCATAGCAGCAATTAATGACAAAATAAATCCAGTTTGTAAGCATTACTCAAGTTCCTTGATCTTGAATCATTTCTTCGTATAACGACACCTAAATTTGCAATGTTTCCTGCAATATGAACGCTTTACATGCCTAAAATCTAGGGATCTGCACCATACAAATATTGGGGTCCGTGTGGATCTTGTTATCCGTATGTTGAGTAGATGCTATAGTTCTTGCAAAATCCCAAATCATATACTGCATGGGACATGTTCTCCCCATCTATAATACTGAACCTGATGGCATCTTTACCAAAGTTATATTGTAAACTTGTACCAATTTTAGTGCTCAAAAATTTTCATTTTCATGCAGATATTTTGGTTCCTTTGGATAACTATATTTCCAGGGGAACTGTCCATTTTCTTTCGTGCAAGGAACCGGATTACCAGCAAAGCCTTTGGAATATGATTTCTTCCGTGAGTTCCTTTTGTACTTATTACTGCTTTCACAACTCTTCGTAGTTCAAGTCCAGCATTCTATATTTACATGTAGGGTTGAGATGTTTAACTTTACAATTGGATACAAATATTTCACCATTTATTCTGTTTAATCTTCTGGTTGAGATCTGTTACTTTTTTCTTTATTCGACACAATTGGGAAGATTTGATTGCCTTGCTAAGGATAGATTTTTGTGAAGATTTTGAGTTTTTGATGTTTTTCTTTGGTGATTTTGGTAGTAGATGTGTTTTCGATCTTGTATAGTATGCGAGCCTTTGGGTTCCTGCGACAGATTATCCTCTTTTTGTGGACAACTTGTCGATTCTAGTATATTTTTCATTCTAATATAGTATCCTTTTTCCCTTGAAAAAAATAAATTGACATTTAGCATTGCCAACTCTGCAAAATTAATAATAAATTGACATTTAGCATTGCCAACTCAGCAAAATTGGAAACCTTTGGATCAAGGGAGACTAATGTTTGGAAATCTGTCGAGTTTTGAAGTCAAAATTTTCGTTTAAAAGATCCGTGAGGAAAGGATTATCAATGCTTTCTCTCATTTAATCTAATCCTTCCTCATATTGATATATCATGTTATTTTATTAATTATGCAGATCATGGCAGACAAAAATTTAGAGGATGGTGATATTGAACCAGCTCCGAAGCTCATCGAAGTAGTTTTCCAGAACTGTAAAGGACAGGTGGATCAGTGGGTTGAGCCATATTTGAGAATAACTGTTGAGCGGTTGCGTCGAACTGAAAAATCATATTTGAAATGTCTTCTCATGCAAGTGGTAAGTTTCTGTGAGTCTGTTTATTCTGCTTTGAATAAACTCTTCACTTAGATACCTTTTGACCTGAGATGATATATCTTATACCCATTCCACTTTCTGCAATTACAGTGGTGTTAATAGTCTTGATTTTCTAAGGCTATAACTAGATACTTGGTTGAGTAAATATATCTTTGTAGATCCAGTTCTGCATTTGTGTTTAATGGGAAATGGTGCTTCAATTTAGTAGTTCTCTCTCTATCTGAACATATAAATAACCAGCCATGGTATTTGCGTGGAGATATCATTAGTGTCCAATATAAATTAATTTAAAGTCATGACCTTCCTACTTAGAGAAATTCGAAAAAAAGTAACCTAAAATTTGCTCCTACTTTTGCTTTTATAGCCTAAGTGATGGGATGAAGTTGTGAAAGTCCAAGTAAAGGTTGTTATTTTCTTTTAAAAAGAAGTTTAGGTTGTTACTACTTACCTGTTAGGATATGTTTGAAATAAATTTTTCTATGTATATAAGTTGCTTTGATATAGAGTCACTCTTTGAAGTTAAAGTTCTACCGGAGCATTTATGGTGTCTGTATATGTATGTTGGCAGATTGCTGATGCCCTTTTCTACAACTCCTCCTTGACGCTTAGCATATTGCATAAGGTTGGTGTTGCAACAGAAGTCTTTAGTCTTTGGTTCCAGATGTTACAACAAGTGAAAAAGAGTGGTGTACGGGCTAATTTTAAAAGGTGATTCTTGGATTTGTTTAGTCTCGTGCTTCCTCATCTCACTCAAATATATCTTCTTAGTTTGATCTCAGCAGTGGTCCAGATATGTAATGCAAGTGATCTTGGTGATGCAGGGAACATGATAAGAAAGTTTGTTGCTTGGGGTTGACCTCACTACTTGGACTTCCTGCAGACCAATTACCAGTGGAAGCTTTAGGGCGCATTTTCAGGGCTACCCTTGATCTCCTAGTTGCATACAAGGATCAAGTTGCAGGTCTCTCTCTCTCTCTCTCTCTCTCTCTCTCTCTCTGTGTCACATGTATCATGCTATATGTTATTTTAACAATAACTTATATTATTTTTGTATGTCTTTGACTTACATTATCAGAAGCTGCTAAGGAGGAAGAGGCTGAAGATGATGATGATATGGATGGTTTCCAAACCGATGATGAAGATGATGATGGTGATGGGTCGGACAAAGAAATGGGCGTTGATGCTGAGGATGGAGATGAAGCTGACAGCATCAGACTTCAAAAATTAGCTGCGCAGGTGTGTACACTATTATATTGTTTCAATTGTGTTGTCTGGTTAAAAGGAATCAACTATGGTATGGGATGGGCAATTGTTAAATGACTATTACATTATTTAACTGCCGAAAAAAAAAAAAAAAAAAAATTAAATAAAAAAGATGGAATGGACCAAAATGATTCAATAGCATTCCGTTCATACTTTGATTTCATCAACCTCCTATTAGCCACAACACAATCCAGGTGAAGCATTTATAGAGCTTGGATATGTATTGGATTTCCATTTTATCTAGGACTAGAAATGAACAATGGTATCACAATGGATGGGAACCCACTCCATAACTCAACAATTTGGGTTGGGCCATGGGTCTTTCATGGGCTTGGGTAAACTCTCCTTGGAAAACTGCTTGCCAAGGGAGGGTGCCCAACCTTTATAACCCACATGTCCACCCTTTTCTCTTTCTGTGGGATCTAACATTTCACCACGCTTCCGTCCGCAACTGACGTCCACGTCGGCCTCTTTATCCCTTGGGTGACAACGTGGATCCCCTTTCCCTCGGGCCTTCTGTCCTTTTCTCGGGGTAGCAGCCCGGGCCCAAGGTCAGCCTGCCACGCGTGCGCTGCCACTAGTGCAGGATCATGCTCTGATACCAATTGATGGGAACCCACTCCAATAACTCAACAATTTGGGTTGGGCCATGGTGCTTTCATGGGCTTGGGTAGAACTCTCCTTGAAAAACCGGCTTGCCAAGGGAGGGTGCCAAGCCTTTAACCCACATGTCCACCCTTTTCCCTTTCAATGTGGGATTCTAACACACAACTTATTTCTTCAGTCAGTATATTGTATTTTAATCTCAACATACATCACAGGGAAATGGTGAGCATCCCCTTATTTGAACTGACTAGAAACTTAACTTTTCTGGAGGGGGCATGTTGTATAACCTCATATGTTCATTTTATACTCAGCTGAAATATGGAGGTTGATGTCGTTAATGATATTAATAGATTGCATTGATAAAGTATGTTAATTTTTTAGGAACCGTATTGAATGAATGGTTAGTCCTGTGCATTTAGAGCATCAAATTCAATTATAGAGATGTGGTGTGCAGTGAATTAGGTATGAAGAGGATCTTTGTGACAATATGTATTCACTTGGGGGAGTTCTTTAGAGAAATGTTAATTTTCTACTCAGTAAAGAATGGTATTGGGTAGTCTACACCATATTGTTTGTTGCTATTTTGTTGTCTCATGCTTCTAGTGGAACATTCATTTTATTGATCTTTTTAGACTCACGACATTTTACCTAATCATGATTTAGGCAAGAGCTTTCCGGCCCAATGATGAGGATGATGATGACTCAGATGACGACTACAGTGATGATGAGAGCTGCAATCACCAATTGTGAGGTGATCCATTTATTTTCTTTGTGGTACCATTAAAGGTAACAAGTTTAACTTAGTTTTCAATCTGTTAGAGCTTAAGTTCTAGTTATTTTGTATTGTTGACTTGGAACTTACCTTTTGCTTGTTCCTTTCTCCTCGAATCAAAGCCATGCAAGTGTCCGATCCCTTGAGATCCTCCAAACCTTACACAGACCTCGAGTTTCATTATCAAGCGCTTGCAAATGGTGTTGCCCAGCATGCTGAGCAGAGGAAGTAGAGATTGAGAAGAAAAAAAGGAGAAAGCATCTGCTGCTGCCACTTCATGACTTGAGCTTTGAATACCACGTTGCTCAAATTTTGGTTTGCAGTTGCTGTTCATTGCTTATTTAATTCATTTGGTAATGCCCAACCCTTGGAGCATTTGGTGGGTTCAATTGTCAAGGAGTTCTGTCAGCCCAATGAGAAATTTCTGGATTGAAGTGCTTGGAGCTTTGGATTCCCAATGATCAGGTCCTAGTAAGCCCCAAGAAATTTTGTCGTTTATAAGTGCTTGGTGCTTTTTATGTCCAAGTTCCCACTTATAGCATCTATATACCAGACAAGTCTGTACTGCCCTGTTGTCTGGTTGCAGTTTGGTTCAGATGCCGGCCATTCTATAGCAGAAAATGCCAGTTTTGTGTTGCTTTTTTCTACTTTCGTCCAAGTCTAGATACCATTTATTTAGGTCTTTCCTTGTTTGGTTTTAAATTTCCCTTTTCTGGGTTATATTATTTAGAACCCATGGATCTGCCTCATAGGTTGAGAGCAAGGGGGTATCATGCATAAAGGTCTTCTTTGATGTGTTTTTATATTGATGGGTTAGTTGGTTGTTATATCTATAATTTTTGGAGGGTAGCTTATAGTCCTTTTTTTCACAAAAAAAAAAAAAAAGATTTTTTTTTTCTTTATGGGTACATACAGTCTACGAATTCATCGGACATGGTTTACATGGGTATGGAGTTTTGGGTTGATTGCAGAGGGCTTATAGCGGCGCTCTGCTGTTGATTGTAAAACGGTTATATGCTTATTCTTTGTATAATATGAGATTATGGGAGAAACTGTTTTATTGATTCCGACTGTATTTACTTTTTATTTATTTGTGTTTTGTATTATTGTTCAGGAGAGATCAGTTGCACTTGATTTGATTTAGATTTGGAATTTTGAGCTTTACCGTTACATAGTGTGAAATTTGCTGTCTGGATTTTGGGTTGAATGAATATTACTGGGTATTTTTTGATAAGTTAAGCGGATTGTTTTAAGGAAATGAAATAGAACAGAAAACATTTTTGCTCCTTTTCAATGGCTTACTTTGTACTAGTGTTGTGCTGTTAACGTGCGAAAATTGGAGATCCGTGACATCTTTACCATTGCTTGACAATCTGCAAAAAAGAATCAGAAGTTCTTTTTTATTACTCCATCTGCAATTGAACTTTTTTTTAACCTTTTCTGTTCCTTTATATTATTATTTAACTTTGGTTCTTGTCCTTCGTGGATGCATGAATATGCTTAATAAGACATCGCTTTTGTTCTTAAGGCATTGTTTTAAAAATCGGACGATTCCTTGACCCAGTCAGGGGTTGGTTCTCGGGTTGACTGGTTTAACCTTTGGACCGGTTGGTATGATCGGTATATAATAGACAAATCTCTGAATAATTTTTCAGTTCTCGTAAGTTTAAAATCCACAAATTTACTCTTAAAACTTACACACGAGTCCTTGTATTTTTTGAAATAACTGGCACATGAGTATCTGTATTTTTGAAATAACACTTTTATTATTAATTATTTTTTTTTCTCTTCCCATCACTTTCATCTTTCTTTTCTTTTCTCTCTCCCCGTCACTTTCTTATTTCTTCTATCCCTTCCTCTTTTTTCCATAACTTTTTTCTCTTTTCTCTTTCTTCTCCTTCCTCAGATCCCTTTCTCTTCGTCTCTCTTTTCTTTCTTCTAATCTTTCTTCCTTCCTCTATTCTTCTTCGTCTCTTCTTCTCTTTCTTTTTCTTCTGTACATGACATATTTTAGAGTAAGAAAATGAAATGAAATGAAAGAATGCTTGTTGGCTCAATGAAATAGAGAATAAAACGATGTTGCAAATCTGGTTTAGGAATTAGGGATCAGATTAACCTCAAAACAGTGAACACTTTAAGTTTCAAACCGGTTGGACGCGATGGTTTTTTCCTGTTCCGCGCGGTCTATTAAAGGTCCAAAGCTGGTTTATGTTATTTTCGTTTTTATGTTAACTCGTATCGGAGTTCAGCCAGGTCCCGATCTAACCGGTCAGACTGCCGGTCCAGTCCGAGTTTTAAAACAGAGCTTTAAAGGAGCCAACACTAGCTCTGTACTAAAGATGAACAAATTGAGTAATGTTATGTTTATATTGAATCATACAACCAGACAAAAGATAAGGATAAAGAAGTTATTTTACATTAATTTGTGTAATTTTTGTTTGTTTGTATAACTTAGTTGTATGGTCCGTTGTAAGTAAAACATTATTGGGACAAATTAATGTAAAAAAAAGTAATGTTACATACTCAAATTCACTCATCATACAAACTGATTATTACATTTTCCCATAGTTCATTCAAGATTGTAAAAGTGAGAATCATAACGTGTTGGCAAGGTTTTAAAGTTCATTATTGGCCAATTGGATCGAGACCCAACCAATGAGCCGGGCCGGGAGAGGCAAAATACTGGAGGTATAGTTTACCTATTTCACCCGTTTGGACTGGGGTACTGTATCAACCCGCCGATCCAATCGGTTTTTTCCAAAAAATCGGTCAAAAAAAAAAAAAAAAAAAAAACCTTTTATTTCCAAAACCCAATTCACCCATTTGCAATTTCCTTATCCTTCGACATTTTTCACCACTTTTTTTTGATTTCCTTCTGACATTTTGCCCAAATCGTCCACCGTGGCTCCCGTTTGCGATTTCTTCTCTTCATCATCAGCTCCAAATCTCTGCATCAGTTACGTCGAAGTCATCTCTCCTCTTCCAAACTTTGAAATAGCCTACAACATCTCTTCTACTACTGCCTGCACAACCTTTTTTAAGGAAGATGAAGCTGAAACTACAGAAGACACCACGTCTATGAGCTTGGGATAAGTGTCAAAATGCTTGGAATTTCTTTAAAAAACACTGCTGACACTATTACCTTGCAAAAATCACCATTTCTCTTTACAAATAAGTGCAATAGCTTCAAATCTAGCCAACAAATCCCAAAAGTTGTTTTTCTTTTTGTTTTGGTTGGAACACATTTGGATGGAGTCAGGAGATAAAGTGGAGGGGTGCGGTGACAGTGGTAGGGTGCGATGAGGGCGGAGAGTGGCAATGTTGGTGATTGGTGGAGTGCTGGGCTGTTGGCAATGACGGTTATTGCTATCTTTATGGTATGGGCTGGCAATGATGGAAGTGATGATGGCTTGTAAGGGAAGGGACATTAAAGTGGATTTGATAGAAGACTCAGGGAAAGTGATGATGCGGTGGAAGGAATAGAGATTAATTTAATTTGATAGAAGCTGAGGGTCTCTTTCCAATTGATGTGGCAGAGATGGGGCAGTTTGTGGAAGGGAGGAGAATTAAGGTGGATTGATACGTTGTCACATTA